TTTGTTAAAATTTAGATAAGCATTCCCTAATTGATAAATGGTCAAAGGATATGAACAGGAAGTTTTCAGATGAAGAGAACTAACTGTAGTATATGAAAAAAATACTCTGAATCACTATTGATTAGAGAAATGTAAATTACAACAACCCTAAGGTACTATCCCACACTTATAATATTGGCTAATATGGCTAATATAATAGGAAAATTATAAATGTTGGAGGGGATGGGGGAAAATTGGGACACTAATGTACTATTGGTGGAGTTGTGAACTGATCCAGATATTCTGGAGAGTAATTTGGGACTCTGATCAAAGGGCTGTATAACTGCATACCCTTGGATCCAGCAACACCACTAAGTCTGTATCACAGAGAGATCAAAGAAAGGGAGAAGGGACCTTTTGTACAAAAAATATTCATAGCACCTCTTTTTATAGTGGCAAAGAATTGGAAATTGAGAGGATATTGATCATTTGGGGAATGCCTGAACGAGTTATAGTATATGATTGTAAAGGAATACTAATGTGCTGTACAGAAATGATGGACAGGATGCTTTCAGAAAAATTTGGGAAAATACATATGAACTGATGCAAATTGAAGTGAGCAGAACCAGGACAACGTTATACTCAGTAACAGCAATATTGTAAGGATAGAAAATGTGAAAGCCCTGGCTGCTCTAGTCAAGACAGTCATTCAAGACAGTTCCAAAGGACTCATAATGAAAAATGCTTTCCACCTCCTGAGAAAGAACTGATGGAGACTGAATGCAGATCAAAGCATAATATTTTTCACTTTTTTTCCCCTTTGGGCCTGTATCTTCTTTCACATGACAAATATGGAAATATGCTTTGCATGATTGCACATGAATAATCTATATCAAATTGCTTACCCTCTCAGGGAGGGGGAGAAAAAATTGAAACTCAAATTTTTAAAAAAATGAATGTTAAAAATTGTCTTTACATGTAATTAGGGATAATAACACTTTCTGAAAATTTAGATAAGCTATATCTACAAGGCAAGGGGCAGCTAGGTGGCTCAGTGGATAGACTGTCAGACCTGAAATCAGGAAGACTCATCTTTCTAAGTTCAAATCAGACCTCAGACACTTACTAGCTGTGTGACCATGGGCAAGTCACTTACCCATCTTTGCCTCAGTTTCCTCATCTGTAAAATGGGCTTCAGAAGGAAATGGCAGATCATGCCAGCATCTTTGCCAAGAAAACCCCAAATGGGGTCATGAAGATTGGACATGACTGACTGAACAACAACACAACATGAAGTCAAGTGGATAGAAAACAGGTCATAGAAGTAGGATGATATTGTTGTTTGTTCTTCGTTCTCCAAGAGGACCACGACATCAGGAAGATGATTGCGGGAGGGAGGGCTGTGCAAGGTCACTAGCCTTACTTTCTCATCCAGAGCCATATGGGTCCAGTGACAGGATATAGATCAGGATGACTGGAGATGGTTCCCTCTTGAAAGCAGGAATACTTGATCTCAAGCTTTTTTTACACCGATTGGTACTGTGACCTTGGGCAAGTCGTTTAACTTTTCCTGACTTCCAGGAAATCTTTGTAAGTTGCTATGCAGTTGCTAATAGGCACTTGTAGAGGAACTTACTTCTTTGGGATTTGCTTATGCTAATAAAATTAATAAAAGGTCCCCCAAAATGGTCTACAGCATCTTGTTCAAAAAAGAAAGTGAAGTTTGTTAGGCATGAACTATTTGTAATCAAGTCATATTGGTTCTTTGTGATCATTTAATATATTTTAGAATTTTGCCAGCAGTTGAAGTTAAAGTCATTGGCATATACCTTGCAAACTCTCCTTTCTTCTCTTTGCACTTTTCTACCTCTGTGATTTTCCTCCTGCTCTCTGGAATCTTCAGAGCTTAATTTATGGCACCTCAGCAGTCATATCTGCTGGTTCTATCATTTTCCTGGGTTTTAGTTTATCTTGACTTTGTGATGACTCATCAAAGGTAGCCAAGTGCTCTCTATCTCCTTTTTTACCTTAGTTTTGATTTTAGGGGGCTTTATTTTATATTTTATTTCAGCAGATAGTTTCTCCTTATTGTGCAGAATATAATATTAAAATGATTGACAGATAAGTAAAGCCAGAAAATGTGTCATAGTTTGGGTAAGTCAGGGTCCTAAAGGTGCTGAAGGGAACAGAGAGCAGGTTTAGGAGTAAAGTTGTGGAAGAAGTAAAAGGCTAGGATATAGAAGTCAGAGAAGGGAATTTTGGAGTTCAGTCTAATGGTGGTAGTGCAGCAATTTTTAAGTATTAGTGAAATCCCCATGTGTTGCTAAAGTTGTCAAGATGAATGTCATAGAAGTTGAGGTGGTCTAGGAACTGTGAAACTAAACTCTTAAGAAGGGTCATAGGTAGGGGCAGCTAGGTGGCACAGTAGATAAGCTTCAGCTTCAGAGTCAGGAGGACCTGAGTTCAAATCCGTTCTCAGACATATGACACTTATTAGCTGTGTGACCTTGGGCAAGTCACTTAACCCCGATTGCCTCACCAGAAAGGTAAAAAAAAAAAAAAAGGGTCACAGGTAATGAAGCAGGATGTAGACTAAAGTAAGACTGCTTGCTAGGTGCTATAGTTAACGTGGAAGGTAGGAGTGTCCTGGTCAGTGATCGACAACATCATGATGAGGAAAGGGTGACATCAAATGGTATGAACTTCGAAGAGAGGAGATTGTTGAGTGATCGTAGTAGACCTGTGACCTGGACTCCAGGAAGTTTTCAGTGAAGTCTATGAGATGGTCTCCAGGCGGAAGTGAAAGCTTGAAGGTGGGCAAATACTGTTTGTTGTTTATTCTAGGCTTTAGTAAAAGTTAAATCTGTATACTATAGAATTTAAATGAGATCTCATCACAAACAGATACCATATTAAAAGCCATTTTAGCCCTTTTAGTATATGACTTTTTGACAAGTATGCATAGCCTAGAAGTAATAGTTCCAATATAGACTAAATCTGTTAAGCATACAGCTCCTCTGTGAGTTTTTGAACATCAATTCAAATATTTTGCTAACTTCAAATCTAAGCTCTTATATGGTATATTGAAAATTAGTTAAAAGACCTTATCATAACAAAGATAATATTTAACCTCACTGATAATCAGAAGTTACTGGTCTAGTAGGCTGAGAAATGTATTTTATAAAATTAGCTAGGAAAGCAAACTCACAGAAATAAAACAAGAAGGTTTTTTAAGTACTTGGAGCAATTTAAGTGCTTAAGAAATATTTTTTCATTCATTAATTGTACACGGATCTGTTCACATAGTTATAGGGGTTTAGGATGAGCGGGTTAATTATTTTTCTCACTTGTAAAGCAGTTTTTCTTAGGCAAAAAGATTATTCTTTATGCTATTATGCTAAGATTTCACAATTACAGATTCATCTTAGCAACCAGATAGTCTACTCTTTTAATTGAACAGAAGTGCTTGATCTAAATCTTACAGTATCTTGATGATAAAGTCCCTTATTCTTGTTAGGTTTCTGAAGTGGATGAAATTTGTAAGCAGAAAACAGTGCAGTAATCAGAATACAAAGACTGGATATCCATGTTGGACACACATCTTTCCTTGAAAATAACAAAAGACTGTATCACTGTCATGTCATTCTTTGACCTTTTTAGGGTATATTCTCAGTAGTTTGATTGGTCAAAAGATATGAACTCTTTAGTTCCCACTGGTTTTCCAGAATAGTTGGACCATTTCACCGCTTCATCAGTAGCATATTAATTTGTCATCTTTTGGAGGGGAGTGGGGTACAATTAGGGTTAAGTGACTTGCCCAGGGTCATACAGCTAGTGTCTAAAATCAGATTTGAACTCAGGTCCCCTTGAATCCAGGGCTGCTACTCTATCCACTCAGCCACCTAGTTGTCCATCTTTTGACAACTTCACTAACATTTATTATTTCTGGCTTTTGTCATTTTTGTTAATTTGCTAATAAGGAGAAACCTCAGTTTTGTTTTTGTTTTCATAATCAATGATTTGGATCAGCCTTTGATGTGGTAGTTGATTTACAGTACTTTTAAAAGCTTTGTTCATCTTCTTTGTTAGACTACTTATCTATTTGGACCTGAATATTGGTTTTGTATGTGTAAATTTCATTATGTATTTTGGATATCAGACTAGTTTTAGAGATAGCAGATGCCAGTATTCCCCATCCACTGCTGCTTTGTAATAGCTGCATTGATTTTGTTCATGCATAAATTTTAAATTTATGTAATTGAAATTGTCTTCTCTTTTTGATCATCTTTATCCCTTGTTTAGTTGAATTTTCTGTCATATTGATAAAAGTTAAATCCTTTTGGACATATACATATATATATGTGTGTACGTATATCATAATGTGATCTTTTACGTGTAGATGGCATGCAATAGCCAGATTTGTCACTGCTATGTTCCATTCTCTACATACGTAGATATACAGACATGAGTACTTGTAATGTTTCTTCTTTTCTCTTTTAAATTGCTTTTACTTTCTTGTGACTTATGCATGCTTTCATTGTAGCGTTCCTGACTAGATTGATTTCAGTATTTGTTAAAATATTTGAAATTCTGGGGCAGTTAGATGATTTGTAAAGAAAAAAGAACAGAATTTTTAGTCGCAGTAAATGTATGGAATACCATGTAGGGGGAGACAAAACTTTTTCCCTTCCCGGTATGTATTGAATCTCTATTTGTAAAGCTAGTTTTTCATCTCTACTTAAAAGAATATAAGGGAACTAAATTTAGAAGAATGATTTACCTTAAGTAGACCTTCTCAGTATTTTATATACAGATATATTGAGACATAAATATAATATGTTTATACTGTGATATGTTTTGTAGGAATGTTGGATGTAACTAGTAAAGTTAGAAAGGCTAGAAAGATAGAGCATTTGGCAAGAAACTTTGTTGTGTCCCCACAGCAGTTTTGATTTTGAATTCAAAGAAAATTAGATATTTTACCACCACTTCTTTTTTTTTTTTTTTTTTTTTGTTAACAGGGCTACACATCATTTTGGAATGACTGTATATCGTCTGGATTACGGGGCTGTATGTTAATTGAATTAGCTTTGAGAGGGCGCCTACAACTAGAGGCTTGTGGAATGAGGCGCAAAAGTCTTTTAACAAGAAAGGTAAGATAAAGAACATTTTTGTTTAGAGTTTGGATAAGAACCTTAAACATGGAAACTGTCTCCAAATGAAAAATATTACTACTCATCGAACTTTCTGAAATTAAAGAGGAAACCTTTTTTTCTCTAGCAAAACTCAATACATGATGTGGCTAAACATTGGTTCACTTAAATTTAAGTATGTTTCTAACAGTATCTGAAAGTAGTCTGTATTCATCCTTTTTTGCATGAAAAAGATTCCAAGCTTTGGCTAATATATATTAGGTTTTTGCACATTTATGCTTAATATATTGTATTTCATTAAGCTAAGTTAGGACAGGTCTTTTCATAGATCATGAACTATAATTAGTGCTTCTGAAATCATAATTCTGAAGGAACTGGCAAAATGTTTCTTTTTTCTACAAAAGTTTGCTTTTCATGAGCCAGCTATCCTGTTTCTATTTATCTTTTTCAGTAACATTTGAATACTTTCCAGAATTCAGCTTTCAACACTCTAAGAATTAAGTCTCTGTGTAGGTAGACAGATCTTACTTCTCTTGATGTAATGAAAGTATTCAGTGTTGGTTACTCTGTGGTGAGTCTTTCACCCCTTTCTTTTCCTCTCCTTCTCTTCTTAAAGCAGAGGATAGTGCCTTGGATTTTTCTCAGAAAATTCTAAAATGTTCCTGAATGTAATAAGACCATATTTATTTTGTATAATCTGTATTACCACATTCCATATATGAGGTTGTTTTTTTTTTTTTTGAGGGGAAGTTTAAAACATCACCCTCTTAAAATTAAAAAAACCCCCAATATTGTACTGTAGAGATTCTTGATATTTCCATTTTAACACTTTGAATGCTTATAAATAAAAATGGCGGTATTACTGTACTCATTTTCCTCTTGTAGGGAAAGGAACAAGGTAGGGAACACAAAATCTTCTTTGTCCAGTTCCTAGAATTGGCTCCTTTCCCAAATCACCCCCAACCCTAAAACCAGAACTATTTGTTTGTCTGTGTAAAAGTAATTTTTCTTTTCTGTGTAAAAGTTATACTGTGTTTCCATTTTTGTAAGTAATATTATTTCATGGTTTTTATTTAGTGCCTGATAGAAATGTGTGTTAACCACCCTCATTTTAAAAATGAAAACACTTCTAGTAAGGTTGTTAAAGGGGCTATCAGTCATTCATACCTTAGTGTTAATTTAGATTGTTTATTTCTTAACATCACAGAATCTCAAGATTGGAAGAGAACTCAAACACTGTCTGATCAAATCTCTGTCTAAACAGGAATTCCTTTTGTAACATACTCAAAGAAATGACTGTCGAGTTTTTTCTTAGAGACTTCTAGTAAGGAAAAACCCCAGTTTCCACTTTACCCTATATTAAGTCTAAATTTTCCTCTTTGTAATGTCTAACTAACCACTGATCTTAGCCCTCTGAAGCAAAACAATTCTAATCTTCTGAAAAACAGCCCATTAGGACAGCTATCACATCTCTCAAAGTCATTGCTGCTTAGATTAAATTAAACTATTTAGTTTCTTTAGCCAGTACTCATGTCATGAGCTGGAGGCCCATTATTACCATCCTTGTTTACCTCCTTTAAAGACTAACCTCTGTATCCTTCCTAAAATGTGACACCTAGACATGAATAATTTCCTAAGAGTAATTTGATTGAAGAATATTAAGCTGGTGAAAAGTAGGAGATGATGTGTTATAGGGGAAGGAGCACTTAGCTGGAATCAGGACCCAAGTTCAAATGCTGCCTCTGACAGTTTGCTGCTTGTGTGACTTTGGGCAAGTCACTTAATTTCCCTGGGCCTCAGTTTCCTCATTTGTAAAATAAAGGGGGGTTGGACTAGATGACCTCTTTTCAGGTCCCTCATTCCAGTTCTGGATCTGTGAATTATGAGAATTAAGGTAGGATAGAGTTCAAGAGGGGAAAAAAGGAGGGAAAATTAAACAGTGACATCATTGACAATGAGTAATAAAAGTATGAAGTCAGATTACCTGATTTTCTTGAACTGTAGCATGTTAAAACATTTATGATGTTTTAATACTTAGCAAATCTAGAGTACATATGAGGCACTCAGTTCCTACTGTTCTCTTCTATGTTAATTTCCTGAGTGACTTGAGAGATGCAAAGTTTTCTTTCCTGGCTTTATTTTAAAATTTCAAACACTTAAAAAAGATGTTAACAGTGATAATTGAATAGCACTTTTTTGTTTTAAAAATATTGACATTTAAAGATTATTTTCTTCTATCAGATTAAATTTCCATCTAAAGAAGAGTATAAATAATTCTTAACCTGATAAGTCTTTTGCTCCAAATAATTTTCATTTGTATGACGTATTGATTGATTCTATTACCATTCAATCTTGACTTTTATATATATTTTTAAAAGAGAGGGGAGGGTATTGGATTTTATACATGAAAGCTATATGAGAACAATTTGGAAATAGAGAATAAAGTGTTTTATTTCTTGCTAACGAATAAGTTTGGGTTTTTGTTTTTTTTTTTAGTACAAAATTTTTAAGCTTTTTCTTTTAATTTTATCATTGACTAATTGGAATCAAATCTGTATACTTCTTGTGGATCAGATTGCCTCTTTGGAAGACTTGTTTGGAAGTGATATCTGTGAAATTACTTATTTTACTTATTATTACTTATTTTAACATATTTTGTTAGATTACTTAGGTGAGATTAAGTATGTGATATCAAAATAATTGGGAATATTAAAAAATGTAAATTGATTAGCTCCAGTTATTTGGATTCCCTTATTTGGAAAACTTATGTGTTATATGACTTTAGAGACGCTGAAGAACTTGTGTTTTCAGTGGTATGAGTATTCTTTTCACTGATATAGATCACAAAGCCTTAGTACATAGTTTTGAGTTGTAGTGGCCAAAGAATATCTTGATGACTTATGGCAGAGTCACCCTCTGCTCTGAGAGGCCATGTTAGCAGAGTCATAATTCTGAACATCTTACTAAGGCAGAAAGGCTTCAAGTATAGGTGATGGACCTATCTACTTTGCCAAGGTTCATCAACAGAAGGCACATTTTAGACCCTCAGAAAATAATCATCGAAAGAATGGTAAATAACTTATTTAAGTGTTTTTCTATGTACCAAGAACTTTGCTAATCCTTGGGGGAAATGTGAGCAAAGTCCTTGTCCTCATTGAGTTCTAATATTCTAATTTGGGAGGTATGTTCTAAAGGGAGATAGCAAGGCTTGGTGGTCCAATACATGGGGGTCTAAGGGATGCACAGCTAAGTGGATGTCTTGGCTGCAAGCTCATCCATTTGCCCACTAGGAAGTATATGTCCCTCAGTACCTGGTTGAAGAGGAAGACAAAGTATTTCTTCAATGTGTGCTTTGTTACCTGTTCTGTATAGATAGGCTCACAGTGCAACAGGAGTCACACTGATGCTATCCCCCTGGGGCCTACAACTTCTGGCCAGACACAGGGTCTGCCGCTCCTGCTGCCATGGTGGAGCCTCTCCTAAAGAGAAGGAAATTGTGCCATCTGAGGAAGAGGAACATTTGCTGTAACCAAGGCCTGACTTGCCTAAGACATAATAACATAACATTTATTAAAACACAATTTTTTGAATTACACATTTAAAAGAAAAAAAAGAGAAAAATTTCTGATTTACAAATGGCAAGCCACAAAATGTTAGTCCCATGATGAGTTATTTTTCTGTGGGGGACCGAATTCCAATACGCGCTTAAAGTAACTTTTAAAGTATTCTATATTAACTTCACACAATTTCCCACCACTGTGTTCAAAGCTGTAACCTAACTGGTCCATGGAGTTGCAAAGGATACAGTTTATAGTTTATAAAGGATACAGCAATATAGTTTAAATGTTACTAGACCTGGCTCCAAGAAGGCAGGAACCATGTATTTTTCATATACCTATATATACCTTCCCTAGTATAGTATATTGAGAAACAGCATGAATTTGTAATGGAAAGAGAGACCTGAGTTCCACCAGCCTTTGACAGTGAATTAGTTTTATGATCCTGGGCAAGTCACAAGCTCTCTGAGTCAGTTTCCTGGTCTGTAAAATGGGATAACAATGCTTGCATTTTTCATTATGAGGATCAGATGAGATAATGCTTGTAAAAAGTTTATTGCCAATCTTAACGGACTGTATTAAGAAGCGCCGCTACTATCGCATATAACAGTAATGATACTTGAATTTCAGGAATGAAATCATGACAGAGAAACTGAATATACTGGTCCAAAAAGTCATTGTGTTGCTGCTCAGTTTCCTCTCCCAATATTCTACAGCAAGATAACAGGCATTCCTTGATTACCCAGACCCTATTTGAATGAATATATGAAAAACTGAACTCATTGTCTTTATTCCTAAACCCTCACCCTTTCCAGTCTTCCCTTCAACTCTCAAGAGCACCACCATCCTACTCCTTCAGGCTCAAAACCTAGGTGTCACTCATGACTCCATATTGCGTTTCATCCCCCCCTTAACTAGTCTGCTGCCAAGGCCTTTCATCTCTGCAATTGTCTTGCATATGCCCCTTCTCTTTTCCAAAAATGCTACTGCCCTGTTCAGGCCTGCACCTCCTGAATTATTACAGTAGCCTGCTTTATTAACAGTAGCCTGCTGGTTGGTCTGATTGCCACAGTTCTCCCCACTCCAGTCCATTCTCCATTCAGTCGCTGAAGCAGCTTTTCTGAAATCAGATTGGACCAAGTCTCCCCCTTACTCGGTAAACTTTTGTGGCTCTTTCTCACCTCCAGGATCAAATACACAATCTTCTCTTTAGTGATCACAGCCCTTCAGAATCTAGGCCCACCACCCCAACTCCCCTTTCAAATCTTCTTACATCTTCCCCTATTCCCTGCTCCCCATGTACTCTGCTGTCCAGTGACACTAAGCTCTTTGTTGTTGGTGGAACAAGTTATTCTCTTGTGCCTGGAATACTCTTGTTCTTCATTTTCACCTCTTAGCTTTCCTGGCTTCTTTCAAGGCCCACCCAAAATCATAACTTCTACT